TCTTGATAATAGTGAATCAATCTTTACTTTTCTATCAGCATGGTTTTGCCGTCACAGAATACTCCTGACCTTTGGGAGGTTTTGCTCAACCGCAGTCTGGGACAATCTCGACTGCAGAATCTAGAAGCCCAGGGCTGGTTCCTTCTGTTGTGAGGAGTGGAGTGGTCCACAGAGGGGCTCTGTCGGCAGTAGTCAGGTGAACCACACTCACTCATTAACGCCGAGTCTGTTCCAACTCATAGCTGCCCCTCCAGTGGGCTTCCAAGGCCACAGGCCATCATGGAAGGGACTTCCTCTCTTTCTCCTGAGAGCCACGGGGGCAAGGAGACCTCAGCTATGCCCAGCCTTGGCTTGGCAGTGGCCCTGCCAGGACTCCTCCTCCAGGACAACAGGCCACTCACCAGTGGTGTAGACATCATCATTTGCCAATTACTTACTTTTTAAAACATATTGGAGTGCAGTCAGGGCTATTTCCCTCACACATCCGCATGCCATGTATAATTGAAAACAGTAGGAGAGGGAAGAGGACCTTCCGGCCAGCTCTTCCAGCACCCTGTTTCTCCGTTAAGCACTGTGGACACACCTGCAAATTGTTCCTGTCTCTTCAGTGTGTCTCATCAGGACAGAAGGCTCTGTGGGATTCAGCTTCTCCTACCCAGAGGGTCCCAGGTGTCTAAGTTTGCTAAATACCACCTTTCAAATGCCTCTTGAATCTTCCTTTTGGGGAGGTTTTCCCAGAAGTGTGTGCATTTTTTCTTCCTTCTGTCTGGCCAGCCTTGTAGACGGATCCCATTTAGGCTATTTCACACCTCATGCTGTTCACAAAACACCTGTCTGCTCCTCTTGCTGTTAGATTTCTCTCAGAGTCCTCGTTTAAGGGACATTCATCTGTTGCTTTCCTACCACTTTTTTCCAATAGATTGGCTTTCCCTTTCAAAACAATCTCAACGATTCTTGACCTTACAGGTCTGTTAGGGTCACCTTGAGGCATCCTCACCTGCTGGAGTGTCACTATGGGTCAGTTCCCACTTGATGGTACATATCAAACAACAACCAGTCACCCTGCATGGACCATCCTCCCACCACCGCGTATCGTGTGCGTGTGCACATCTGCATAGGCGTTCCAGGTGCCCTCGCCCTGTGTTTTATAACTGCACTGGGCACAGAGAGCAGTTTGGCCAAAGCTGCTTAGCTCTCGTAAACTACTGGAGTAGCAGCTCATCTCTCTGCCTCCAGGCCAGCTCTTCCTGGTTTTTTATAGAAAGCTTCACATTTATGAGTCTGAGTATGTACTCATGAGTTAACTAAAACGGTTGTACATACTCATTTAAGACAGTTTTGACGACCTCTTGGTAAGACGCTCCTCTGTCAATCCCAAGGCACAGGGTTCAAATCCACTAGCTGCTCCACAGGAAAAAAAAAGATGGTCAGCCTCCTCTTGTGTGATTTCCCACCTCTAAACATCCACTGAAGGGTCCACTCTGAGTCAGTTCTGAGTCGGCATCACATAACGACAGTGTATCCTCTTGATGTCTCAGAGGGGCAGAGGCTTTGGAGGCATATACCGTATTAAACCCAGCTTCATCTTGTCTGTTATGGTCCTCATCCCCTGTGAGCTCTACCTCTGACACCATAACTATCCTGTTCCTCTACTGTCCATAGGGTTTTCTCTCCTGTTCTTAGGGATTTTACTCTACTGTCCATAGGGTTTTCAGATGCCTGCTCTTTAAGAAGTGGATGACCAAACCTACTAAAACCTGTCCACCACAGGTGACTCTTGTGGCATTCGACACACTGCTGGCTAACTTTTAGCATCACAGCAACCTACAAGTTACCTCAGGACAGCAAACTGACAGACAACTGCTGTACTAATTAGAACAATGAATTCCCCCAGCACAACAAAATGACACATTGGTGTTGTACCTCTAGTAGCAAACCGGACATTTGAATGTCATGATACTAGATCCAGTTGAAGCCTGCACACTGAATAAGGATGACAAAAGAAGAATTGATACCTTTGAGCTGTGGTGTTGGAGAAGAGTGCTGAATATCCCATGGACTGCCAAAAAGAACAAGCAGATATGTCCCGGAGAAGGGCAGCCAGAGTGCTCTTAAGAAGCAGATGATAAAGCTTTGTCTCACATACTCCAGGCACGTTGCTAAGAGAGGCTGTACATATACTTGGAGAGGGGCATTATTCTTGAAAGGTGGAGGGTCGGTGAGAGAGAGGCAGACTCTGAAACAGATGGATTGGTCCAGTGACTAGATCCTTGGACTGACTCGTCCAGCAGTGGACTCGCGTGTCAGGAAGTGTGAGGACGGCAGAGGCTGGGACAGGGTTCAGGTATGCTGTTCACAGGGTGGCTGTGAGTTGTACTTAACAGCACCTAACAGCAACAACAATAGCATCACCTCTCAATATGAGTGTCTTCATCAGTAAAAGAATAAGATCTCCCCAGTTTCTAGGAAAATGAAGTAACATAACGTCTGAAAAGCAATCAGCACATGACCCGGTGTGGGATTTTAACAAGGTTACTCCTCTCTTTTAAATGTGAGCTAAGGTTCATCTGAGGGTCAGTGAGGAACTCCGCCGTGTTTCTCCACAGGCCTTTCCTTCTGGTACTTCATCACTGTGAGCAGTTTATCAGTTGGCGTCCCCTTCTTTAAAACATCCATGCATTATGACGATAGAGTTCAAATCCTGTCTGAATTTATTTTCACTGATATACTCTTGTGGGGGAAAAAAACCAAAAACCTCAGTGATGGAAAAATAATATTGTTAAAGAAAAGAAGTTCTAAGTGAATCACTGCTTATTGGTCTGTCGCTTTTCTCTTCAGCTCACTTTGATTTGATTTCAAGGTTACACTTTTTCCAAGTTTACTCGTATAAAGCTGGCCCTTAAGAAATAGAAGCAAAGTATCTTGTATCTGTCCTCCTCAAAATAGCATCCTAATTTAGTAACGCCACTGGTGCATTCTGGTAATGTGTTAAAATTTTGGCCAATATAACACAGAGTTTTCTATCCACAAGATCAGAAGAACTTTTCTGCTTAATAGCAAGTAAATGGATGGATTTGTGCACGCATTCCCTTCTTCCCCCCTCAAGCCTCCTGGGCATGCCTCCCCTCACGTGCACGCATTTTCCCAAAGTGCTTGCTGGACTAAATGCTTTCTTTACATAGTGACTGTGTTGAAAATCAACCCAGATGCTCCTCTTTTTAGTACGCTCCAGGCTTATACACTTTATTGTTGTTAAGTGCTTGGTAAATCAGCTTTTATTTAGATGGGACATTGTTGAGAGTGAGAAAAACAAGAAATTAAAGAACATTGACTACTTAGTGGTCAGATAAGGAGCCTGGTAGCACCAGAGGTTGGGCACTTAGCTGTTAAAGGTCTTTGATTTGAATCAAGAACCTCTGAAGTAGAAAGTTCTAGAAATGTGCTTCCAATGGACTACAATGCAGCAAACCCTCTGGGGCATTTCTATTCTGTCCCTTGGGGTCACTGTGAGTTGAATTGTCATAATGGCACACCACCACACATGTGATGACAGATGTTTCCTGTCTCTGTTCCCTGCTCACAGGAACACAGAGGTCACTTACATTCTGGCCACAGGGAAGAGTTCTTCCAGGAAAGGGGGCCAAGCAGTTGAATAGCTAACATGAAGCTGCTTCTGGCAGCACACCTTTATAACCATATCAACACATCCCTGCAACTGGCCACTCAGAAGGTGTGATAATGTAAGCAACAAATGCTGGCGAGGTTGTGGAGAGACTGGAAACCTTGTTCACTGTTGGTGGGAATGTAAAATGGTACAACCACTGTGGAAGGCGGTATGGCGCTTTCTCAAAAAGTTGCGAATAGAGATACCATTTGAGCCAGCAGTTCCACTACTGGAAATATACTCTAAAGAAACCAGAACGTCCACCTAAGCAGATGTATGCACACCCATATTTATTGCAACTTTGTTCACAATAGCAAGGAGTTGGAAACAACCCAGCTGCCCATCAACAAACAAATGGATAGAGAAGCTGTGGTATACTCACACAATGGAATGCTATGCTGTATTGAAAAACAAGGAACTCATGCAATATTATTCAAAATGGGTGACCCTGGAGGACATTATGCTGAGTGAAATATCTCAGTCACAAAAGGACAAATACTGCATGGCGCCACTGTTGTAGAATGGGACTGATATGTAGATATCAGGGCTGGGGTAATACTGAGGAAAAACTGGATAAATTATGTATACTGCATTGAAACAGATGAGGGAGAGAATAATTTAAAAGCAATATATGATAGGGTATTATAGTTATCACAAGGGTCCAGAATTAAGGTTACATAGTGGAGTGTACCTGAGGTGGTGGGAGAGGTGGGGGGGGATTGTATACCAAAGAAAGAATTTTTCTTTTACTTTTCAAAAAAAAGAAGCAAACTGGGGGGGGGGGGGTTGCTGGGGAGGGCTGGGCAGGGAGAAAAGTGCAACAGTGAATGAATAGAAATCCAAAATATCTGTAATAAAATTACTTTTTAAAAGAAGAAAAGCACATACACACAAAAAAAGAAGGTGTGGTAATGACCCTGTTTTATATAAACTAAGTCTTAAATGCAGAATTCAGTGGTGAGGGACTTTACCTATGCTGCTGCTTCTATCCGGAAAGCACATAATTGTTTCATGGTGAAATTGAATTTGGAGGAAGGAAAAGGGGGATATTCTACTGTTATTGTTATTTCCTGATGCTATTGGTCAGCAGTGGCTGGGTCTTCCATCCTGGCTTTAATCGCAGCTTCTGTTTTGAATAAGGAGATGGGAAAGAGAGAAGGCGTGGGGAGGAAGGGGACTCAGAAATGGTCTGAAGCAAACTGACTACTGGTTGTTCCAGCTAATTCCTTCCTGTTCTAAATTCCAGTTTGGGCTTCCATGCGAGCACATGTCTCTTTTGTGGCTCATCTCAATCCCTAGGAGGTACCATCCACACATTCTCTTCTTTCTCTTCCAGGTAGCTATAGATTTCACTGCCTCAAATGGGGACCCCAGGAACAGCTGTTCCCTGCACTATATTCACCCGTACCAGCCCAATGAGTACCTGAAGGCTTTGGTTGCTGTGGGAGAGATTTGCCAAGATTATGACAGGTAAGAGAGTCCAGGACAGCTCAACTTAGCATCTCTCATGTGGATGTAGATGGTCTCCAGCTGATTTACAGTAAAAGAGAGGAAATTAGTCTAGAAACTTCTCATGAAGGAGCAGGTTGCAACTTTCCCAAATGTTCCATCCTCTCTGTACCTAGAGAAGCTGCCAGGCTCACCAGGATCACCAAACACAGCCCTTTCTCAGAATTCTTCTTGTAATTGGTGGCAGCAAGACCACTGTAGATCACGATTGATCTAAAGTGTCTCATTACCACCCAAGGTCAGTGGTTTGAATTCCCTAGTCTCCCCACGAGAAGACAGGCATTCTCCTACAGTAAAAATGTCTAACCTCGGAAAGCCACTGGCGAGTAGCCATGAGGGTTGAAACGTTAGTCTAGAAACTAACATCTAGGAACAGCACAGCAGCATCTAGGAACCTGGGATCCCAAGACTCACCCTGGACCTAATGACTCACTGCCGATGACACAACCCTGCTCGCTGAACCGGAGGAGGACCTGAAGCACTCCCTGCAGAAGGTCAAGGACTGCAGCCTTCAATATGGACTGAAGCTCAACATCAAGAAAACAAAGATTCTCACCACATGGCCTATTGGCAGCGTCATGATAGATGGAGAAGAGATTGAGGTTGTTAACAGTTACAGCTTGCTCAGCTCTGCAATCAACACACTTGGCACCAGCAGTTAGGAAATAAAACAGTGAATCACATTTGGTAAATCTTGCTGTCAGAAACTTTTCCATGAAACTGAGAAGCAACAGTGTTAGTCTAGAGACTAAGGTGCCTCTGATCCAGGCCATGGTGTTTGCAATTACTTGCTATGCATCAGAGAGCTGGACATTGACTAAGGATGACAGTACAAGAAATGATGCCTTTGAGTTGTGATGCTCGAGAAGAGTCTTGAACATACCATGGACCACCAAGAAAACAAACAGCTCTGTCTTAGAGAGATGGAACCAAGTTTCTCATTGGAGGCGAGGATTTTGAAGCTCTGTCTCACACACTTTGGGCACGTGGCCAGAAGGGACTGATCCTTGGAGAAGGACATCATGCTCCGAAGGTTAGAGGGACAGCGCAGGAGAGGAAGCCCCCAGATGAGGTGGATTGATAAAGTAACTGGGGCGATGGGGGTTGGTGTGTCAGCATCAGTGAGGCTGGCTCAGGACCGGGCAGGGGTCAGAGCTGTTGTACTCAGGGTCACTATGAGTTGCAGACAACCCGAGGGCACGTACTCAACAACCACCACCACCACCTGCTTTTTGAGCCTGATTCCTAGAGCCTTCGTCTAGATTCCGTGGCTCACGTGTTAGATGATCTGCTGAGCTTTCCTGTTTGCTGATTGCCTTACTTGCAAAATGCAGATCCTGTTATCAGAGCAACATCCTTTGAGCACACTGTAGACTTTATTGGGTCTCATCCTCACAGTAACCCTTTTATGGTAGTAACCCTGTTGTTCTGGGTATAGTTTAACAGAGGAGGACAAGTATGCAAGTGGATTACAAAATCTTCCTACCGGTGTACAGAGGCAGGATTTGAACCTACATCCTTCTCACTCCACAGCTTGAACTCTTAAGGACTGTATTTCATTGACCCTAAAAGCTGTTGGTAACTTTAAGCCAGGGACTCATCTATCTGCCTTTGTGTTGTTAGGAGTTTGTGTGCGCGCACACATGTGTTTGTATAGAAAATAGGACTTGAAGATTAGATTTCTCTTGTGTTTATTGTCACTTTTTGATAGTAAATGTGGATCTTTTTTCATCAAAAAATTTCCTTTTATGAAGCGATTTACTAAGTTACACTACGCTGAATTCATTCTGTCTGAGTCAGTGTTTCCAGGCTGAAGGAAAGGAGTGCAGGTGTGTGTTCCAGAAGACTCTCTGCGGCAGATCGTCTGTCTTAATGTTTACGAGTCTGAGTTAACTCCCTGGTGTGATTGTTGATCAAGGCTCTTTCCTAACAACCAGTAATAAACTGACTGGACTTTTAGACTAGGAAAACCGAGAGGAGGCTTCTGAGGAATTTCATTTGATAGCATAACTTCTGCTCTTTCTAGTTTCAAAGCTGGCAATAAGACTTGAAACCCATTACCCTGCACAGCATAGGAAATGACACCTCCCAGTGGTCAGACTTTAGGACACTAATAAGTAGAAGAGCCCCAGGTCCTGCCTGGCAGCCTCTAGAAACTCCCAGAGGCGCGAAGACATTAGGGGTGTGAATGTCCAGAGGCTAAATGTGCCTTTGCTGGCACTTCCTGTCTGGTACATCTTTGACAAAAGACAAAGACTCCTTTTAAAAAGCCTTTCTGAAATGTTTTTGGGGTTTTTTTTTTCTCATGTAAGCTTGAGATATTGACTATAAAGAGGACTTGAATTTTAACCCTGACCTCTTGGGGTTCAACTATAAGGACAATCTCTGCAGGTATTTACATGAAATGGAGATTTCTGTAAGGAGAGAAGAGCTCACAGGCTGTACCCCCACCACATCAGCAGCTTCCTGAAGTCCCCCCAAGTCACCAGCACAGTCCTGCTCCCTCACTTTTCTATCACATTCACTCACACCCCCCCCCGGTATGATAAGCAGTCACCTCGAGGTGACACCCACTCATGGTGCCCCCGAGTTTGTCAGAGCAGAGTTGCCATCCATGGTGGCTTTCACGCATGAGCTCTCACGGGCATCTCCCTACAGAAGCTCCTTTTCAAGGACCTGAACTTCACACTTGCCAGTCAGCACCAAGTGTGCTGAGCCTGGGTCCCAGCCAGGAAATGACTTCATATCCTGTGTGCAGGAAGGAACAGAGAGCAAGTCTTTGGGGTTCTTAATAACACGTTTAAGCTTGAAATACTTACAAAGGAGATAAAGTTGGTGAAAAGCACTTAATGCTCACTAGGGGGAATGAGTCTACTAATGAATTCTAAAGAGAGCACTGACAGATTGTCCAGAAATGAAGCTACAAGCTCAGGTTCTACAAGTTAGTGGATGACCTGGAACCCCTCACTCAACTTTGCACCTTTTGTTGACTGTCTCACTTGCAAAACACAGAGCTCTGGTGGCCCAGCGGGTAGAGAGTTGTGCTACCAACCCAAAGGCAAGAAGTTTGAAGTACTGGCTGCTCTGAGGAAGGAGAAGCAGTCTCCACCTGTGGGATTTACAGCCTCAAAAATCCGCTAGAGGGTCAGCTAGGGGTCAGTTCCAACTTAATGACATGCGACACCACCACTACCCCCAATGGGGGGGGGGTGTCCTTTAAGGCTTCATTTCTTTATAAAGTGAATTAAAATCTAAGAACCATTCTGTATCCCTCCCCATACGCAGATTCAATATGCAAATCAGAAATACCACTTTAGGGATTATATAAAAATTGTCATACATTATTCTCTTATTTCAAGTTTAAGAAGGTAATTACAAAGCTATCAGACCCAACTGACCCACAAAATCCAGTTGTTACAAGGGAGGGGAGCAGTTGTGGGTTTGTTTGTTTCTCATACAAGGCAGACGGCTCAGCCTTAAAATGGACAAATATCCCAGGGTGCAAAGCAGGAGCAGAAACCCAGGGTTCTATTGGAAGACTCCTGGGAAGAGAGTGCGGCGGAGATGCCCACCTGCAGGATGACGAGGTCCTCAGAGCCTCCCCTACATGTGGTCGGATCAGCGCACACAGACAAGAGTCAGGACTTTCCAGGCCAAGGATTCTGGAATTCATTGATTCTCCAGTCAAAGTCAGCAAGGCTGGGGCTCAAAAGAAGCGCTTGAATAAAAGCTGACAGGAGGCACCACTCCCCCTCCTGCCACAGCACGAGGTGTTTAGTCCCAAGAGCCTTAGAAACGTCTCTTGCCTCTGACAGCCGGGGCCTTCTCTCTGTACAGTCAGCTGAGGGGGCAGCGCCACGCGGCCCGTGAAGCAGAACAGCTTGGGGAACGCCTGGCACTCCCCTCTGCGTGGCCTTCAGAGGAGGCTCCATGCAGACCTCTGATCCTCAAACCCAGAAGGCAAACATGCCAGCCTGAGCGCCCTGGGAGTGAGAGTCCCCCACCAGCTGTCCGCCTCGCTTTCACGTCCTGAGCACGCCGATGCAGGCACTCAGGTCCCCGGGCCCTGTCCACGGCAGTGCTTTCCTAGCCCCTACCAGTGTCTGGTCTTCTGAAGCCATCCACTCCTGCACTAGTGTAGACCAGAGGCGCTGCTTCTGTGAAATATTCTGCTTTGTTTGGTTTTTTGTTTGGTTTTGGTTTTTTCCAAGAATAAGGACTCATTTATTACAAGAATAGGGACTCCCACATTTGTTAAGGCTGGCAAGTCCCAGGTCTGTGCACATACCTGTAGAGGCTGACGAGTCTGAATCCAGATCCAAATCTGAATCTGCCAGACTTAGATAGTCAATGCAGGTCATACGTCCAATGAAACCAATTAGCTACTCATAGAAATGCCTCTCTGTCGGTTGGACTCAACTATGGCTTCTGTGAGAGAAAGACGGGCAGTCTGTCCCAGTGCCATCCACAGCCCTCGCGGGTGACTCAGAAGCGCTGTGTGAAATACTCCGTAAGAGAATAATTTCCTTGGCTGCTGCCTAAATGGCATCAAGCTCATTGACTGGAAGTACAGACTGACATTTTATAGATGTGATCGTCCCAGGAGGAAAGGAGGTATTCACATAGTAAGGCACAGTGTTCTGCCACCAGCTGTTAGGATGACAGATGAGGATGAAAACCCAATTAGACAAGTGTTTTCTAGTCGCAAAGGGTTGGGTTAGAAATCAGAAGGTAACTTCAGTCAGAACTATCTGTTCCATCTATCAACACTCTCAACAAACTCTTAGCTGTCAAGAACCAGGGTGAAGTCAGGCCGAGACCGGTCTTACAGCCGGGGACCTCAGGGGACCCCCGTGCTGTTGTAAAGGCAGCAGATGAACAAAGCACAATTCGGCTTAGTCTCACTGCAGAGAGAGGAACGTGAGTAAATCACAGTCTGCAGGGCGAGGGCAGACCAGGAC